CCCACCAGACGGCACCCTTCCCTGTTGTGTCCTTCATAGTTTCCGAATCTTCCCTCTTGTCTTTCCTTAGCCGTCTGGCGCAGCAGGCCAGCGGATCTTGTCGTGCGCCTTTTTTTGGAATGGCACTCCATGTCTCGCTTCTCGCCTCCCTTTCAAGAAGATGTGTTCGTTTTGTTAAGGTCACTTAAAATCGAGCTTGTCCTGCTCTGATTCATTCCGCGTCCAAGGCTGCTCACTCAGGATCCAGCCGAGCCTGTAAAGACAAGGACAGGAAGAAGCCAGTGCACATCCCAAAGCTGCTCAAACAGAGCCTCAGCCTGAAAGTGTTCGATGTTCAAGCCCAGAACGTCACAGGACGGCTTTTTCCTGTCTTGTCTCCGTTGTTGCATCCTCGACTGCTTTTGGAAGCTCTGGTTTTTGACATTCGCCCAGTTGCAGAATGGTGACCCGTGTTTCTCTCTGCCTCCACGTGTCATCCCTCGTGTCTCCCTTCGTCGTCTTCGTCTTCTCTAATGCCACCTTAATTTGTGGAAGATGGGAGGTGGGTCGTGAATCATGGCCTGCTTGAGACTGACCGCGTTTCAAAAAACTTCGCTGTCTCGCCTGTTGTCTCTGAAGATGGATTCAACTAGGCAGTCCCTGCTTTCTCGCTGTCTTTTGAATTGCTCTTCTTGTTTGTTTGCACGCTGCTTTTGGTCATTGCCGCCTTTGGCTCCGTGTGCCCTGTGCAGGCGCCCGAGCATGTCGACGAATCGGGCCTCAGTCTCATCGAGGCCAGCGAAGAAACACGATCAGCAAGCAGGCAGTCGCAAGTTCTTGCCGCGACTTCTAACTGGCCCAATCGGCGGTAGTAGCAGCAGTGGGAATCCAGTAGTAGCATACATAGTTCGTGGTCGTGGTCGCAGTCGTGGTCGCAGTAGTGGTTGTGGTCGTGATGTTCATGGTGGCACCGCCGCCGCCACTGCCTGGACACATCTACGAACAGAATTTATCGGCAGAATCTGTCAGGGCGGGCAAGCAAGTTAGGTACGACAGGAAACGTTGCAGCAATTTCTTCACCCTCGTTTGGGCACGCAGGGAGCTGGCTATGTTTTTGTAGTGTATTGTAGTCTTGCGATCTTAGGGTTTGGGAACTCTGAGTTTGGTGGGGGTTTTGGAGCGTTTTAGAGTTGAGTTAAGGATGGCTTCGGGCTCTTGGGTTTTACAGTCTGAGAGTTTCTTGTAGGGATCAGGGTATTATCGCAGAGGCAGAAGCAGTGTACGCGAAAGGTTTGGAGCTGACAAAACACGAAAAGTCTGGGATGACTCTTGCAGGCCGCGATTCTCCTCAACCTGACCTCGTGCACCGTCTTTTTGATGGCAGGTCGTGGGACGGGCAAAGTGGGGGCCCGAAGGTACCGCGAAGTGTGCGTCGAGCTGGATGAGGACAGCATTGGATGCGCGAGAAGCGACAAGCTGCCATGCACAAACAGGGCGCAAGCTCTTGGCCTGTCTTCAGGACTTTGATGGCAGCTTGCCTGAGAGCATCCCTGATTTCGAGGCACACTAGGCACATTTGTTGAGCTCCTGTGCAGAACACAAGTCTCGCCAGGGTACTGCTGCCGACTTTGTGGCCTTGGCAGCGCTTGCTCAGGCCAGTCACATAGGTCGTGCTCGGCTTGTGCTTCATGTTATGTCCATGCATGCTCAGGCCAACGAGAACCTCGGCAAGTGCAAGGCCAGTCGGAGTATCCAAAGTGCTTCCCTCGCAACCGGGTTAACTTCAGGCGAGCAAAATTCATGACAACATCGTGCAGGCCGTCTTGCAATGGACGGGCAAGTTGGTTGCGGAAGAATTAAGCGTGCTTGATGCTGCCAGATGAGCTTGTTCACGTTGGCCAATGTGTCAACATTTGCGGACGGTCTCTGCATGGAAGTCACCTCGCGCCTGTCGACGACTTACCCACCTGCAAGTGTGGAAGCACGGGTCGTCTCGAGCCGCGTCACTTGACATGCTTTGTGCAGGTTTTCCTTGTTTGAGCGATGTGTGAAATCGCTCCAGCTGTCTCGAGAAAGGCGGGACCATCCCCGAGAGCCCAGAGTCTCAAGAGTCTCGAGAGGGTCAGAGCTTGGTGAGGCTTGGCTTTGCCAGCCACTTGCCGATACTGCTGGAAGTGCGGCGCTCAGTGCTCTCTCTGCCATCTTTGCTCATGTGCGGCACCGCGGTGTCTCTGCTGTAGGCCTTCGATAATGCCCTCCAGTGACCCTCATGCAGTTCTCGCTGGACCGTCCATGCATGCCCTTCGTGATCCATTGTTGCTGTTCGGAAGCAATTGCTCAGGTACAGGTATGGTGGCAACACCAACCTAGCCTATGGCTTGATGACACGACAGGCTTGTAACCGGTCAAGGGCCCTGGGCCATAGCCGATGCACTGAGCTGAGAGGCCATCTTCCGGGATCTCGTGTCTTTAGCCGGGAACTCGTGCGGAGATAGGGGACATGATTCGTGGTTTTGAGCCAGAGGTGCCACAGGTCCAATGTCACATTGATCTTGACAAGGACAAGTCGGCGATTGTTTCAGTTAGACATTTGCATGAACACACAGTGTGTCAGGATGGCGAGAAGGAGAGACAACAATGGCAGCAGCGCGTTGAGGCAAGTCTCGCCCTCGTGTCATGCCCTATCTTTAGCAAAGCTAGGGCAGAACACAGCCGCTGCCAGATGCACCTGCATCCGATATCCATGCTCTTGGATGCAACGGTGCCGATGCTGGAAGCGGAGGCGCCGTGCCAGATGCATGTTGTCAGCGAAGAAAGTTGCGACTCGCCGGCGCCAGGTGGAGAAGCACGAAATATCAAACTCAGACGAAGCCAAGGAGCTTCTGCCTAGGCTCGGATTCAGTCCTCCCCTCTCCCCGCTCAGAATACACGATGCAGCAGAGGTGCATTCTGGGGCTCATGCCACCACCGCATGCTTTCCAGATGAGGCCAGTTTCGGTGCTGTTCACGCCAGACGAAGAAGCTTCTTCCCTTGAAGCCTTTAGGCATGCAGGAAACCTCAGCTGCTGGGACTCGTCAGGCATTTGCAGCGCTGTGCCGCGACGCACTTGACCTGCGAGGCCATCGGCAGGGGTTTTGGTGGACGTGAGTCGATGAAGACGTTCTGCTTGCTTTTTACCGCCAGCATCTGCTTGCGGCTTGCCTCGGCGATGGCCCGGTCTGCCCATTGTGGGAAGTCGAGGACGGCGGCGAACTAAAGAGAGATACTGACAGAATTCAGTTTTCCAGCACGGAGCGCAAGGAGGCCGAAGAGGCACAGCGCTGGGGGCGGAGCACAGCAGTATCGCACTCTTCGTGTGAGTCTTCGAAAGAGGCCGAGGAGGGCCAAAGGGGCCGCTCGTCGAGTCAGGCGAAGCTCAGCCCTCAGAGGGCTCCGTTCCTCCTTTGCGCCTCGACTTTGCTGTGCCCAGGCCGGAGCGACCTGCTCCGGAAGCCCGCAAAGCAAGAGAGCGAGATGCTGAGAGCCGGGATGTTGTGGTGTCTGCGTCACCGCGAGTGGAAGAAGCGACGCAGGAGAAGTAACAGCAGAACGAGGTCGGCAAGCAGCAACCGCTCCAAAGGTCCGCGCGAGGGTGTTTGACAGGTCTCGCGGTTCGAAGGACGCAGATAGAGCGCGGTGAATCTTCATGTTTCAGGCTCAGGTGGCACCAAAGCAGCTGCTTCAGAGCCCTCTGCACTCCCAGAGGGTGCTGTCACTGGGACCCAGGATGCCACAGGCCATGTGGGCTTCGGAGGATTTCAGTGTCGCGATGCTATTTTGGTGCAGGTACAGTGACGAAATCCCCTGAACGGGATCCTGGTGATTCTAGACTTGCTGATGGTGCCAGCGGGATGCACTTGTGCTCGTGTCTCGCAGACGGAAACACTGGAGTTGTGAGATCTGCATGGCCTGCAAGCGGGAGGTGCCACTCCGAATGGAAACGGCCAGGTGCCTGCTGCATCTGCAAGTAGGTAACACACGAGTAATGCTAGTAATGCTTGTCAAGATATATCGTGGACATGACAGGCAGGTGTGCCGACTGTGCCCACTGCACATCAGGCTCGTCACGCACGGGATTTCTTGTCTGCACAGAAAGGTTGAAGATCTTTCTTGACAAGGAAAGCGATACTCCCAGTCCAAAGGCTGGCATGGAAACTTTGGCCTCACAGCTGCAGGCAACCTTGACTGTTTCTGTAGGCTAGCAGCTCAGCAACATGCAATGCACACGCGTGACTTTACGTGTGCGGTTCAGAGAGTTACAGTGATAGTGACTTCAAGCGCGATGGACAGGAGGCAGTCGCGTCCGGAGTGGACGTTGCGCAGTTGCTCGCGCAACTGCAAGCGGCAAAGGCGCAAGAAGCTGTAGGCGTGGATCTAAGGGTGTCTGGTGTTGGCATTCAGGCTGCCAGCGCTTGTGGACAGGTGCATCATCGTTCAAGCTGTGTTTGCGTCAACTTGGGGCACCCGGTCCACTTTTGCAATTTGAAAGGCATGAACATTTGACCGCAGAGCGTTTCTTAAGTTTTCTTGAACATGGAGTATCACAGGTCATGGAGTCATGCCCACAGCTTCACAGCATGCTAGGTTCTAAGTGTTCTGCTTGCCTTTGGCATGTAACTCGCCGTTGAGCATCATGTTACTGACACGTGCGCGAAACCGCGAAGCAGCAGAACCACTCGTAGCAGAATGACATGCTGCACTGCAATGCTCTCAAAAGGAGTCGTCTGGTACATGCACAGGCCCCACGTACTTCTACTCATGAAAGGTGAGAAAATGGTTCGGATCCAACACTCAGCACGTCTCAGCACACGCCCGGACTTCTCCATTCTAGTAGTGTCCAAGCGCCGCTGTGGTAGCCCTGATGCGACAAGGCGAAGGCGGCTTGCATTCCACTGCGTGATCGATTGATCGATGAATGCTTGCTATCGGGATTCGCGGTGTGACTTGCTGCGTGCGCTCTGAGCCTATTAGGCCGACAATCATGGGGGCTAAAGCTGCGAAAGCAAAGTCAGTGCCGGGAGGCCTCTTGCCAGTGGTTGAGCTTTCTGCAATTGCCTGGGCCTGAAGTGTGAGCTCCAGGTCCCTTAGCTGATCTGCCTTCGGAGGCCAGGCTTGGGCTTGGGGTGCCTGCAAGCGCTTTCTCGCACTTACCTCTTTGGCCCCCCTGAATTGGCCGCCTGAATTGGCTCCGGTTCTCTTTGCTGCAAGGCCGCGAGTGTTTGGTGGCCCAGGATCCGGCAGAGCCCTTGCTCGTTGCAACCTGCACCGCATGCCAAGGTACAAGCCGCGCCGCCAATCCGAAGCCTGAGAGGTGATGGAAGTCAGACAGGTGCTTGGTTGCATGTCCGGTCCGGACAGGTGCCGAGCAAAGGGAGTACACGCAGGAACAGGAGGTCTTGGGGTGCACTGATTTTTGAATCGGAGTCTCCGTTTGGTCCGACGAGCCCAAAAAAACTGAAATGAGCTGAAGAGCAGGCGGCTGCTGCCAAAATTGGAGCTGTTGCAAGAGGCAGCGCCACTCGATGGCAGGCACCAAACCAAGAATCTGAGAAAGCTTGTTGGAGCGGGCTCTCCATTGATTCTCCAGGTCAAGCAGGACTATCACGAAGCAAAACGAACCGTGGAGGCTGGCAGCTGTTCCGGCTAATTCCAGGTCTGACAAAGCCCAGAGGGAACAGGCCCGAAAGATCGACACCTTGGGATGTCCAGCGATGCGCGAAAGAACCCGCGGTTGCATCAGGACATGTTCGGCAGACTTGGCGTCTCGTCATGTACAGACAAGAAACATGAGAACAATCCATGCGCGAGCAAAAGAGTGCCAGAGAATCTGGCGGCCCCAAAGCACGAGCAATCTCTCGCGACAACGACGCCAACCCCGTATGTGGGCTGTGCATTCGCAGCGGGGGCACCTTGAGCCGGCCTGTCTTTGCGCATCTTCGCTTTCTTTGTTTAGCTTCGTCGGACAGGGTGATCCTCTGGAGCCGCCGCTGCTTGGCTTCGCTGACTATGCTGCTGCCTCAGCGGTGCCTTTCCGAGCGAAGAGCCCCAGCCCGCTCTATGTAGAGCAGCGAGGCTCAGCGAAACTCTTCTATGCCCTCTGTGCCCGACTCCATCCGCTTCAAGGCGCCGGCGGACCCTGCGCATCCCTGTGCAAAGCAGGAAAGCTTGCTCGAAGTAGAAAGTCGGTAGAGGCTACATAGTGGCCACAAGGCTCTCTTGTTGCACATCCCCAATTTGGCACTACTTCAAGGTCCGTGATGTGACCAAACGGAACGTGTTGAAGCAGCTGGGGCACACTGAGGACGTCTTGAATCTGTGTGGCCTGTTTGCATTTTCGGGATGGCTGCTTCAGTGCAAGCTGAAGGGCGTGAGCCATTGGAACACCTTCGAAGCCTTGGCATCGAGGCTACTAGAGAAGGTGCGGTTCATGCGTTCTTGAGAACTTCATGTGACTGCATGCGATTGCTCGACGTTGCAGACACAAGTTTGCGTGCGAATCGTGGCTTATCCAGGTGTCTGGTTCCGGCGGTGAAAGCTTGCCGTTTTTGGCCTCAGCTGCGAATGCTTCGAGTTATTCTTGACTTCCTGTTCAGGAGTTCGTTTGCGGGCTCTAAGTCTGAGGCCAGGCCCGAAGAAGCAGATGCCTGCTACTGAGAGAGAATCGTGGAGAAATTCGCAGCTGGACCTTTGCGACACGACTGTCTTCCCATGCGTCACTAGTGGACGCCATTCTGCTGTCATCGTCTGGCAACAGAATGCGGTGCCTGTTGGTTTGCTATTGTCTTGTCTTGTTGCGTGCACAAGTTTGCTACTGTAGAAGGTATATACATCCTCTACCAACTTCTGTTTTCTCGCCAGCCAGATGTTGCCTAGCGACAGTAAGGCCCTGCAACCTACGCGTAACACCCGCCGGACGGGAGCGTTCCGTAGACAAGATGCGCAGTTGAGAGATGTAGGTGCGAGCACAAGAGCTAGCAAAGCCTTACCAAACAGGGAGGTCCGTGGGGGGCTGATCGCTGCCAAGAGGAACTTCGTAGGACCACCCACCCTGCGCTTCGTCATGCTGGTGTGTGGACGACGCCGCGACGGCGAGACATTCTATACTTCTGCCAGGGCTCTGCCCAGGGACTCTGAATCGAGAAAGTGCTGTCTTTTTTTCAGATCCTTTCATTTTCCGAACGGTCGCATGGCCCTTGCATGAAGGATGGGAAGGCGGGTAGCTTGACGGTCGCTTCAGTGGGGTGCCCCTCAAGTCGGCAATCCCATCGCCATATACATACAGAGAGTCGGAACACTGTTTTGGGTTGGCGCAGGGCCAGCGGCACACAGTGTTTTTGCAGGACTGTTAAACATTGCGCGTCCCATTCCAGTGAGATGAAGGACAAGCTTTTCTGATGGCTTTCAGAAGCAAGCGATCCTCATCTGCTGGAGCTGCACAACGATCAGCCAGATTTTCTTGAAAGGGAAACGGGTATAGTCGGTATAGTGAACGAGGCCATCAAACTTGACTTCGCTCTTACGGTTTGGAACCTGGCTTTTGTCCAGAGGACTCAGTCCACATTCGGTCCAAGATTCTGCGAATACAGGACGATCTACTTCGAACATCCCTCAAAGGAAGCAAGTGGTAGGATACAGAAAGCTAGTCAGCTAGTTGTGGAGGGTACGCTGCAGCATACAGCTGACGAGCAATCCGACTCCCTCCGCCGAGGCTGGGGACGAGGTCTCGAAATCGATTCGTGGGATAGTCTGGGCGATACTTTGGGGTGGACACTCCCACGAAGCTGTGCATCATAATGATTCTCCCCCGCAAAATGCGCTGCTCTGCGCTCTGACTCTGTCGGATGTGCTGCATTGCGCGACTGGCGCGCCATCAATGAATTGTGAGATCTTTGCACCGGGTCTCAAGCAAGGCTGTTCCCAGCGAGAACACCAGTGCCAGATATGTGAGCAACAACCAGCTCTGAAGATTGGAAGCGACCTCCGCCATACGTGGCGCGATACAATATAATAGATGCTAGCAGCATGACTTCCTTTGCTTACTCCCACGCAAACTCTGAATGCCGCGAGCATTGCCGATGATGAGGCGGCACACGTTCAGTGACACGCCCATCACGCATCGATAAATATCCTGACTGCAGTCCTTGACACAACTTCTGCTACCTCTACGATGTCTTTTCTTTTCTGGACGAGCAGAAAGCTTCGATTCCTAGTTCTGCTTGCCTTGTCTTTTTGCAACCTGGTCTTGCTCTCCATACAGTGTCCGTGACTTCAATCCTTGATTTTTTGACCGTGCAAGTTGGGACAGGGATGGTCTCAGACACAGTGCTCACGCCTGATGTCCAATGGCCTTGCTCGCTCTTTCGGCAAAGTTTGATGAAAGATGTTTCAAGAGTCGGTGGCCATCAACATGTATACTGTATACTATATTGTACGCAGTCAAAAGCTCAGGTCAATGGCCCATCTTTTCAATGATGAGGCCAGCAGTCTCGATGTCAGTGCATCGTGCGTGCATCTCGCTGAGACTCTGTGTGGTCAAGCACAGTTTTTCAATCACATTTGCATGTTTCGTCTTGTTGACAGTAATGTCCTTGAAGGAAGCACTCCGAGCAGAACTCGAAACGAAAGCGGCCGAGGGTTTTGTGGCTCGTCGACAGGACAAGCTTTGAGCTGACATAGCAGCATAGCTAAACATGATTGACTTCGGAAGTTTCCGGTGCACCGTACTGTTGAGTGAAGGACCACTACTTGCTGGGAAAGTACCAGATGGTGGCAGTGCCGGCAATGGCCGATTATGACTCGGCGTTCGGAGAGGTGCGACCGGGACCGCAGGCCGGGACATTGAGCGGCACTGAGGGGGTCAAACAAACTCATCCGCTCAGGAAGGCCTGCAGGCAGCATCCCCACATCAAAGCTGGGACTGCGACGGTCCCGAGGCCATTTAGACAAAAGTGCCGCAGATCATGCACAGGGACCTTGCTCTGTTGCTCCAGGGTTTCGACGGCCTGAGGCTGAGATGCAAGGATCTGGTATTTTGCTTCTGTATGTAGAAAATTGGCATAAGCTGGCAACGCAGCAGTCTCGAAAGGCTGGTTCTGGGTGCTGCATGCGGCCGCACCAAATATTGGCTGGGGCCTTGGGCTAGAGGCTTCTGGGTAGCATCATTTTTGAGCAGGCGATTGGCTGTACAGAGTATCAGTCTTTGCTGATAGGGGTGAGGGGGTGCCTTGACTGCTCGCGGGTGCTGACTATGGACGGTGCGCAGCTGGTCCAGTTTTGGGGACAGTGTATCGCCATTGTAGCGCCGAGCGTCGGGGCCCGGCAATCCGAAGATGGTCGTTGGTGAATGCCGGGAAGACAAAGCCAGCCCCGACATGTGTGGGGGGCCGAGGCGAAAGTGCACAGGCAGAGGACTTTCTGGCGTATTCGGTGGAAGAGGAGGACCACCACTCACGGAATCTTTCTTGTGTCGCTTGAACAGTGCAGCAAAGGACGTTGACGAATCGAGCCCCGCACGGACTCCTGCGACGAGTCTGTTTTTGTTCAGTGGGCATGCGCATGGTCTCCGTCGTTCACCTTCGATGTGTCATCAATCCACCGCGACCCTTAAACACTACTTAAGCAGGACAGAGTCCGTGAGATCCACCGTTTCGACGGCCTCCAGGCAAGGCTTTTTGCACGGTGTCAGTCAGTGAATCCTTTGCTGAGAGGTGTTGCTGGAAAGATCGGCTTGTGCGACCAACGCGGCGGTTGAACGAGGTGAGTTTCTGTAACGTAGGATTTCTGTCTTGTCTTTGTCTTTCGTTCGCATAGCACCCCTCGAGGATCTCTACATCCAAGACCTACGTCACCTCTGGAGGAATGTCCTCACAGCTATGAGACACTTGCAGGCCACGTACCTGCCAGGCAGAAGTTATCAAGGCGTGCTTGAGAAACATTTTGTCGACTTAACCTTTACAGAGCCATACAAGATTTCGGGCGGGATTTAATGGGTTTTGCCGGCTGTTGCCTGGACGTGCCTGCTTAAATTTTCAGGTTGAGGACGTTATTCTTTTCCCATTCGGCACTGGGCCCAGACGCCTACTTTGCAAAGAAAATGTCGCGAAGAGGATGTCGACTGGGCTCAGGAATGGGTGCTTTCCTGCGACACCTGAACCTAAACGACGATCGGTACGAGGAGATGCGAGAGCCTTGTGGATCGCAACGTTAAAGGTCCAAAGCCATGCAGGATGCGAGCAGCATGCGAAGATTGAAACGGAGAATCGCCGCCGCAAGCTCATGTATCTTCAGCCACAACATGTGCGGGTGTATTTCTTGTGTTCTCATGTCAGAGCTGATGAAATGCACCTGTACATCCGGAAGTAGGCACAGTCCGTCTCAACATCTAAGACAACAGTAGTCGGGACTTTACCCTTCACGTCTGCACTGTTTGCCACGTACCACGCTCGCGCAGCGCTTTGCTTTGCAGTCAGCAGATTCAGATATGGAATCGTGCTGCGTATTGGACGAAGGGGCTTCAGCGCGGCAGGATAAGTCTAAGGCCACGCTGAAGGATGGTATGAGTTGCCATGTTCTGGCGCAAGCGAAAGGAGCAATTCACATTGCCAGACAAAGCCACATGCAGTTTGGCGCAACGGATGTGTCTCGCCCTTCGATTCGGAACAGGAGGGCAGCTTCAGATAGTCAAAGATGACGGCGACGAGGAGGAATATGTGAATGTCAATACCGTCGCCGTCGCCGTCGCCGTCGTCGCCGTCGTCGTCGTCGTGGTCGTGATGGTGGTTGTTGTTGTTGTTGTTGGCTCGGACC